CTGGGGGCGTTAAGCCACAGATATTTATTTTTTATTTTTTTAGAATTCATTTGAATCAGTTCTAATGAGATGGATGAAACTGGAGCCCATTATACAGAGCGAAGTAAGCCAGAAAGATAAAGACCATTACAGCCACAGATATTTATTACTCACATTTCTGGAGCCTGGAAGTCTGAGATCTAGGTGCTGGCATGGTCCGTTTCTGGGTGAGGACCACCTTCCTGGCTTGCAGAGGAGACCTTCTACTGTGAACTCACACAGCCTTTCTTATGTGCATGCACACGGAGAGGCAGCCATCTCTGTCTCTTCTTCCTTATCCCATCATGAAGAACCCACCTTTGTGACCTAACCTAAACCTCACTTACCTTCCAGCTCCCCATCGTGATCACCAGCATGCTAGGAATTAGGGCTTTGATTGGTGCATTTTAAGAGGACACAAACATTTAGTCCATAATAACCTGGGCCAATAAGTATTTGCTGAGTAAATAATAATCATGTCTAGCACGTAGCACTTCAGATGGTTCAGACCCTAAGTGTTTTGCATGTATTTTTTAAGTTTAATTTTCACACAACTTTATTAGGCAGGCACCATTATTATCCCCTATTTACAGAGGAGGAAACTGAGGCCCTGGAGAGGTATGGAGGCTTGCCCAGGCTACACAGCTAATTAAATATGAAGCTGGGACACATACTGAGGCAGTCCGGTTCTCGAGAGCAAGATTTTAACCATTATACCCTGCTGCCTCTTAGTTAGGAAGTAAACTCTGATGTTATTGGGTATCTGTCATACGCTGATTCCTCAGGAGAGATGCTAGAGATACAAGGATGAATACGACATCTTATCTGCCTTCTAGGCCATCACAGAATGCTTAGAGAAACAGAGCTATGACTTTTGAAGTCAATGGAAATGTATTGAGGGCCAACAGAAACTTGTTTCACCTTTCTTTTGTAACTACTACACAGGACCATTAGCAAAGGTAAGTGTTTCGCTATTTTAGAATGTATCTGGTGGCTGAAGTGCTCACAAAACTACATATACTGTAGGGAATAGTGGGCTGACTCATCAAATTAGAATTGACTACTTTTACTAGAGTTTCTAATGTAATGACAATAATTAAATGATGGTAATGCACATCCTAAAATTTATAATACTATCAATATACAATTTGAGGAAAGTAGGACCACTTATGTAAAAAAGCTTTTTAACTAAAAATAAATATAGATAATTTAGATATATTTTACAGGAAAATTTAAAACAAAGTGAATTAAAAACCTTGTGGTGTTTCAGGATCTTGACTATTAGGGATATTTATTTATATCTTTTGGCTGTGTCGGGTCTTCATTGCTGTGCACGGGCTTTCTCTAATTGTGTCAAGTGGGGGCAACTCTTCGTTGCAGTGCTCCAGCTTCTAGGGCACATGTGCTCGGTAATTGTGGCATACCAGCTTAGTTGCTCTAAGGCATGTGGAATATTCCTGGATGATCGAACCCATGTCCCCTGCATTGGCAGGCAGATTCCTGTCCACTCCCCTGTGCCACCAGAGACATCCCTTTTAATTTAACTTAATTAATTTACTTTTGGTTGTGTGTTGGTTGCTTTTGTGCGGCCTTTCTCCAGTTGCAGCAAGTGGGAGTACTCTTCCTGGTGCTGGTGGGTTTCTTACTGCAGTCATGCTGGTGGGTTTCTTACTGCAGTCACGTCTCTTGTTCTGCAGCCCAGGCTCTAGGAGCGTGGGCTTCAGTAGTTGCAGCATTCAGGCTCAGTAGTTGGGGCACATGGGCTTAGTTGCTCTATGGCAAGTGGAATCTTCCTGGACCAGCGATCAAGCTCATATTCCCTGTACTTGCAGGTGGACTCGTATCCACTATGCCACCAGGGAAGTCCAAGAGGATGTCTTCTTGCCACAGACTCCACCTTTGGATCCAGTGAAAATAGCAGATTTGAGAGAGAGGAGGTGAGGGAAAGGGGAAGCCTGCAGCCAAGAGGGGGTTGGAGAGGAGGGCTGAGATATTCTCCTATCTCAGAGGAAGAGCACTTCTGCCAGGGATCAGGAAGAGATGTGCTGTCTGAATCCTCAGATGCACGCAGGTTGCCCAGGAAGGCGCTAGAGCAGAGTAGGAAAGACTTAGAGCAAAGTAGAAAGAGTCAGACCTGGGCTTGAATGTTGCCTCTGCCACTTAGGAGCCGTGAGATCTAGGGCAGGTTTCTCCACTCTGGGCCTTAGTTTTCTCTTTGTAAAGGGGGTCAGTAATACTGCCTTCTCCCTGAATTGCTGTGGTTTGAGTTTCATTGCTTTTATGGTTTTTTGTCTCAAATTCACTCTTCTGTCATGAGAAGAAGTTTTATCCAGCCTCCCACACTCTCAGACCAACAACCATAAGCTTCTTCTGAAGGAATAGAATTTGGCTTTGAGAAGAAGATGGAGTCGTTGCAGCTTTTCTTCAAGTTCTCCTGCTCCTCATGGTCACAGCTCAGCTTCTCATTTGCTTTGGACCTTCCCTCCTCTTTCTCTGTCTTGACAGATAATAGCCCAACAAGCTGCATTTCTTTCTCATGATGGAGTTGCATCATCTCATTTCCTCTCTCGTGAATGTTTGGGACTACACTTTCACTAGAGGTTTTCTCAATCTGACATCACTAAGATGACCTGTTGGCTATGTTTTTCTGTTCTCTCCCATAGCGTTGGTGAGAATTGATTTTTTTCCTCCATCTTGGGTGCTGAGATGCATGCTTGGTTTTGGAATTTTGGTCAGTTCCCTCCTGGATCTTCCTACCTGGTCATCAACATTGTTGACATCCCCTGATTCCAATTTATTACCTTGTTCTCTTCTCCAAGAGAAGCTTATCTCTTTTTAAAAATGTTTTATTGAAATATAGTTGATTTACAATCTCATATTATATATATATGCTTTATATGTTTTTTAAAATTATTAATTTGTTTTGTGCTGGGCTGGGTCTTTGTTGCTACACATGGGCTTTCTCTAGTTGTGGCGAGTGGGGGCTACTCTTTGTTGCAATGCACAGGCTTTTCATTATAGTGCCTTCTCTTGTTGTCAAGCACAAGCTCTAAGCACTCAGGCTTCAGTAGGTGTGGTGCATGGGCTTGTGGAATCTTTATGAACCATGCCATGTGCTCCATGGCATGTGGAATCTTTATGAACCAGGGATCAAACCCATGTTCCCTGCATTGACAGGTGGATTCTTAACCTCTGGACCACCAGGGAAGTCCCAATATATATGCTTTTAAAGATTCTCTTCCATTATAGGTTATTATAAGATACTGAGCATAGTTCCCTGTGCCATACAGTAGGTCCTTGTTGTTTATCTATTTTATATACTGTATAGTAGTGTGTATATGTTAATCCCAAACTCCTAATTTATCCCTCTCTTCCCCCGCCTTTCCCCCTTTTTAACCACAGTTTTATTTTCTATGTCTATGGGTAGAAGCTGATCTTGAGTGAGCTTCTCCTAGTCCACCAGACACTTGATCTGACTTTGCAACACAAGCCTTAGAGTGTCATCTGGAGATCCCAAGTCTTTCTCAGTTGCTCATAATACTTTTACATGAGATTTAACTTCTTCCTCTTGTATTTTGTTGGGTGCAGCTTCCAGAGAACAGATCATTCTCACGGTACCAGATGCTGGCTCATCTTGAACATGGAACATTTTTCTTTTCCCAGTTGATTTGCTGTAAAGCATATATACTAGATCAAATCACAGGCTGAACATGTCCAGGCAACCCACTTCTTCTGGGCTTTTGTCTTTTTCATCTCACTTGATGAGAGCTCCCCCCCACCCCCCCCCCTGCAATTTTAGGCAGCATTATGGATTGAATTGTATCCCCCTCATTCATATGTTGAAATCCTCACTCCTAGCACCTCAAAACTGATCTTATTTGGAAATGAAGACTTAATTGAAGTAATCAAGTAAAATTGAGGTCATTTGGGTGGGCCCTAAGCTAGTATCACTTGTGTCCTTATATAGGAAGAGGAAATTAGGACACAGACACATAGAACACAAAGATGATATACAGACATAGGGAGAAGATGGCCATCTAGAAGCCAAGTAGACAGCTCTGCCTTAGGACCCTCAGAAAGAACCAGTCCTTTCAACACTTTGATCTTGAACTTCCAGCCTCCAGACTGTAGATTTCTGTTATTATGGCACCAGTCTGTGGCCCTCTGTTACTCAGCCCTCGCAAACTAATGCAGTCAGAATGAGAAATTCTGCCTGGAACCAAGAGAGGTGTTAACATAGCAGCTGTCACCTACACTCCACCATCTCCCACTGATGTCTCAGGAAAGTAGGATGGGGGAATCACATCATCAACTTCTGCCTTGAACTCTGAAGTTTCTTCTGGGTTTGCCCAAAGTATCCTTGTGGGGCAGGATGACACTCCTCCAGGGGCCCCACATTAAGGCTCTGAAGCCAATTTGACCACAATACTGTGATCACTAAACAGGGCTCTGCTTGGAACCAAACCTGTGTCTGATGGCCAGGCAGTCCACCACCGGAGAGGACTGGGTCCAGACCTGGATCAGTGTGGAACTCAAACCCTGCAGTGCTGCCCAGGACTCCTTCTTAACCTTTGATTAATCTTCTTGATGGCCCAAGAGACTCACCCGTATCCTCTGCACATGCCTAAACACATAATTTAAATTCATTTTGGTTCTCCTTTTGATAGATTAAACAGAACATATTTGAGAGGGCAGTGGAAAGAGTAACCTAGCCCTGTCTAAGGGGTTCAACTAAAGGAGAGCCTTCTGGAAGAAATGGAGATATAGCTAATTAGCAAGGAAAAGAACACATTTACATAATACATATGCTGGACATTATACATACTAAGTGCTTTATATGTAAAAACTGATTTAGCTTTTTAAAAATTTTTTTCTCTATTATTTCTTTCTTTTCCCTTCTAGTTTTATTGAAATATAATTAACATACAGCACTGTGTAAGTTTAAGGTGTACAGCATAATGAATTAACTTATATACATCACTAAATGAGTATCACAATAAGTTTAGTGAACATGCATCATCTCATATAGATACAAAATTAAAGAAATAGCTCTGAAGCACCCCAGAGAGGAGAGCCAGGAAGAGATAAGAAAACCCAAGCCAGCAGTCATGGCGGCCAAACCAAAGCTCTGGTACTTCCGTGGCCGAGGCAGGATGGAGTCTATCCGCTGGCTGCTGGCTGCAGCTGGTGTGGAGTTTGAAGAAGAAGTTCTTGAAACAAGAGAACAATATGAGAAGTTGCAGAAGGACGGACGCCTGCTTTTCGGCCAGGTGCCTCTGGTTGAAATTGATGGAATGGAGCTGACACAGACAAGAGCCATCCTCAGCTCCCTTGCTACCAAGGACAACTTGCATGGGAAGGACCCGAAGGAGACAGTCAGGATCGACATGTACGCCGAGGGCACCCTGGACCTCATGATGATGGTGGCGCTGGCTGCGTTCAAACCCCCGGAGGAAAAAGAGGAGAGCCTGGCTTTAGTCCTGAAGAAAGCCAAAACCCAGCACTTCCCGGTCTTTGAAAAGATTTTGAAAGACCATGGAGAGGATTTTCTCGTTGGCAACAAATTCAGCTGGGCAGACATACAGCTCCTGGAAGCTATTTTAATGGTGGAAGAACTTGATGCTTCTGTTCTTTCCGACTTCCCTCTGCTAAAGGAATTTAAGACAAGAATCAGCAACATTCCTACCATTAAGAAGTTCCTGCAGCCTGGGAGTCAGAGGAAGCCACCCCCAGATAGCCACTATGTTGAGGTAGTCAGGAATGTCTTGCAGTTCTAAAGGCAGCAGTCTTAGAATGGCAGACTAATGAACCAATTGCAGCGTTGGCTCCTGTCGCCAAGCAAAGCAAATGGTGTAGAATCTAGGAGTAATCTAAGTAATCTAAGTGTAGATTCTAAGAGTTATATGTCCGAAAAGAACAAAACCATATTGCCATCAGCAGCAAATGCCAAGTAAATGCAATCAAAAAAATAAAGAAATAGAAAAAAATTGTGATGAGAACTTTAGAATATACTCTCAACAACTTTCATATAAAACATATAGCAATGTTAATTATATTTATCGTGTTGTACTGTACCTTCCTAGTACTTATTTATAACTGGAACTTTGACCTTTTGACTGCTTCCCCCGAGTCCCATCTTTAGTAACCACGTATCTGACTTCCTTTTCTATAAGTTTGTTTTTGAAGAATAACTTACCTACAGTGCTGTGCTGGTTTCTGGTACACAACATGGTGATTTGGTATTTCTATATACTTTAAAATAATCACCATGTTATATCTAGTTATAATGTCACCATAAAAGATATTACACAGTTATTAACTATATTTCCTATAGTATACATTTCATACCCATGACTATGTATTTTGCAACTGAGAGTCTGTGCCTCTGATTTAGCTTTTAAAACAGGCCTGTGAGGTCAGTGCTATGATTAGCCCCACTTTACAAATCATGAAACTGAGGCATAGAGACATTGAGTGACTTATCCATGATCACTGCAGCTAGTTAGTGGTGGAACTGGACGTCGGTCCTGGTTGGTGAGGCACCCCAATTCATGCTAAGGAAGTTGAGGGCACATGTTGGCAAGGTGAGATGTGAGATTATGTGAACTGCTCTCTCTAGCCAGGGTTTCCCAGGTGACTCAGTGGTAAAAAATCCGCCTGCCAATGCAGGAGACACAGGAGACGTGGGTTTGGTCCCTGGATCAGGAAGATCCCCTGGAGTAGGAAGTGGCAACACACTCCAGTATCCTTGCCTGGAAAATTCCATGGACAGAGGAGCCTGGAGGGCTACAGTTCATGGGGTTGCAAAGAATCGGACATGACTTAGCGGCTGAGCACGTACACTCTCCAGCCACTGGCCGCAGGCTGCTGGATCCTATACTTCACGCCTTGTGTAGTCCCTACCAAGTTCTGGAGCTTCTGTCCGTTCCAAAAGTTGCAGAGCAAAGGTGACTAATATCTCCCTCACCCGATGAATGGCCAAGCCCTTCTTGACTTCAACCAGCTCCTGTCAGTGTTCTAAACTCTGCAGTGCCACTGCTCATCTGCTCCCAAGCGAGAGATCTGCTGGAATCCTGCTACTCTAGGTTCAGAGTAGAAAGGTAACATGAACACAGTTTCTTTCCATTTTCTTTTTTCTTTTTCTTTTGGCCACACAGTGTGGTTTGTGGGATTTTAGTTACCTGACTCGGGATTGAACCGGGGTCATGGCAATGAAAATGCTGAATCATAACCACTTAGCCACTAGGGAACTCTTTTTTTTTTTTTTGTACAATTTTTACATTAATAAGGAGTGAATTTCCCTCATGTAAGGAGTTTAAATTTTTTTTGCTTTTTAGGAAAGAGGGTACTTGTAGAATTACTATGTATTCAAGTTATTTGAGAGATACGGTCCTTTGGCTTTTAATTATTCAGGCTCAGATAGTAAAGGATCTACCTGCAATACAGGAGACCTGGGTTTGATCCCTGGGTTGAGAAGGTCCCCTGGAGAAGGTAATGGTAAACCACTCCAGTATTGTTGCCTGGAGAATCCCATGGACAGAGGAGCCTGGTGGGCTACAGTCCTTGGGGTCGCAAAGGATGGGGCACGACTGAGAGACTAACACTTTGCTGCTGCTGCTAAGTCGCTTCAGTCGTGTCTGACCCCATAGACGGCAACCCACTAGGCTCCTCTGTCCCCGGGGTTCTCCAGGCAAGAGCCCTGGAGTGGGTTGCCATTTCCTCTCCACACTTTACTAGCAGAAACTAAAAATCTGTGAAATATGGTAAGGAAGAACCTCCCCAGTTGGTGAGTAACACCTAAGCTGGGCCCCTTTCCTCTGCTTCCTACAGCAAGCCTGGGGACACTACTTTCTCCTTTTTTTTTTTTTTTTGATAATTTTAATTATTTATTCTAGCCCCTGGGTTCCTGTACCCTTTAGTCAGTCTCCCTATTTTCCCCACAAAACCACTCAGCCTTGGGCTTTTTTTGTAGCTGCAGGGAAGGGACAGAAGTGTGTAAGTACTCCTTATGCTTGCCTGCGAAGAAATGAGGATTTACAGAGGTTTCTTGAAGAGATACTAGGAGTGGGGAAAAGACAGAGGAGATGGAAGGAAGGGAGGGAGATACAAATAGATCATCTCATTTATTATTTAAAGCCACCACGCAGGGGTGGTCTTCCAGGTTTACAGATAATGAAATAGGTTCAGAAGGGTCAAGTAACATGGTGTTAAACAGCAGAGGTGGGATTCAAACCTGGTCTTCTCATTTAAACTCAGCTCTTTTTGCCTGTGTCAGGGGGCTGGTATGACTGGGCACCCCAGGATTGGGTGAGGATGACTTCAAGGTGTCATGCTAGGAGAACCAGGAGGAGGATGCAAGAAACTTAAAGAAGCAACTGCTGCTGGGGGCTGGGCAGTGGATCCCTTCAGGTAGATACCGGGTTGAGTGGGGGGACAGGATTGGAAGGACAGATTTGGTATATCCAGTTGAAGGTCATGGTATAAACCCAATACAGTGCATTTTGAGACTGGCTATGAAGAGAGAAGACACGTTTGAGCTGACTGGGAGTTGGGTGTTAAATCTAGGAGAGGCACAACTTTGAACTCTTTGTAATTCTTTTACACTGTGTAGTCTGTTTTTCTAACAGTGTTCTAGTGGCTCATCTGAGTAGCAAATATGTAAAGATGTATTTTAATGAAGCTATTGGGGGTTGGCAGGGATGAAATGATGCCTTAAGTCATAGTTTATTTTGTTTGTAGTGGAGTTTAAAAAAAAAAAAAAGATGGTTTCCCTGACTCTTCTACTTTTAGTTAAGGCTTTTTTCAGCTCCCTGTAAAGCAAACCACACCCTGTATAACAGCCTCTTTGGGGCATTAGTTCATTTCCATTTTTATACTTCTAAAACACAGGAACAGTTAGAATACCCTGTGAAGAAGGATGTCCACTGTTTTCCTCCAGCAGGAATAAGTAGACATCATCAGTGCAAAGGGAAGGCCAGCCTTATCTGTGAATTTTTATATCCAATTTTAATCATTCAGAAATAGAACTTGAGCATCCTGACTTAAAAGGTTTTTGGATCATATATATTTAACAGTTTTTAAAAAATAAGTGATTTTCAATCAAATAGTTGTAGTTATAAAGAATTTCTAGAACTCTAGAAATTAGTTAACCAAGTAAATGAAAATTTCCAAAGACTTTCTAGAATTACAAAGAAAATAGCCATGTAATTACATATCTGTATATAATTGAAAATATTGTGGGAGGGGGATTCAGAAAGTTCCAAAAGGCAAAACTTGAGTTTTCAATTTGCACATATCTGTATGTATTACATACATATTGCAAATTTTGACTAAATTTATTTATTTTTTCTGTGTTATTGTCCTCATGTATTATGAGGGAGTTCATACAAAGATGACAATTTTTAAAAAAGAATAGAAAACTGAACAACTCATTCGTGGAAGAAAACCAAGTTCTTTCTAGTTACTTGCAAAGGGAGAATTCCTAATAAAAGACCAAATTTTAATTTTGTATGAGATCATCATAGATAAGAATCACTTTGTAAGTTATGTTAAATGCATCAGAAATTCCTATATAAAATTAAACTTTAAAACATGCCATTTTTAAAGTATTGTGTCAGTTTCATTGTAGTAAAACAGCTCCCAACGGCTAACAAGTTTAGCTTGCTTTTTTGTTGTTGGTAACTGAGACTTCATTTATTGTTTGAGAGGGTTGTGTAGTAATTTTTATTGCACGTCATTAGAAATACAAATTGTTAGAACAAAGACTGTTATGTAAGTATAATTACACCATCCTGTATGATTAAATGAGGGCTGTATTAGAGCTTTTTTGAGCAGTGACAGCTGTAGCCAACTAAGTTCAGCCTGTAAAAGAATTCCAGTGACTAACTGGTACTAATTGTTTGTAGAACAACCAGTGGGAGTAATATTCATGAATACTATGAAAATGAAATATTTCAAGACCAAATGGTTTGTTCTTTGTCTTCACTACTTGTAGTCAGTTATAGAACAGTATCCATGGGAGATTGGGTCCAGGACCTCCAAGGATACCGACACCCAGAGATGCCCAAGTACCTCATATAAAATGACATAGTATTTGCAAACAATGTGCAACCCATTCTCCTGTATACTTTAAATCATCTCTAAATTACTTATAAAATCTAATAGTGTAAATGCTGCATAAATAGTTGTAACTACCATGTAGATGCTGTGTAAATAGTTGTGAGTACAATGTAAATGCTATATCCTATAGTTGCCAGAGCTAGGCAAACTCAAGTTTTGCCTTTTGGAACTTTGTGGAATCCCCCTCCCCTAATATTATCAGTCCAAGGTCAGTTTTATCTGTGGATAGTAATCTATGGATATGGAGGGCTGACTATAATATTGTAATTGGGAAGTGGAGGCTCATAGTCTGTTACTGTTATTGGAAAATAATTTAGCGTTCATCAGTTCAGGCCTCTCATCAAGAGGGAAATTGAGGCTTAGAAGGCAGTTGAAGGGTTAAGTTACTGACCATGAAACTTTTTTGCTCACATACCCCATCAGATTTTTAAGCATACTCTATAGTATATATGAGTATATTACTTTATAAATTACATACTTTTGGGACTTCCCTGGTGGTTAAGACTCCAGGTTTCTACTGCAGGGAACACAGGTTCAACTTCTGGTTGGTAACTAAGATCCCACATGCTGTGTGGCCAAAATATATACATATACACACACACACACACACATAGAATTATACTTTTATGTAATTTAAAATATATTAGTTCCAAAAGCAAACATTACAAATATTTACTAACAAATGCTCAAACTAAAGTTTTAATGGACAAGAGACAAAAAAGAAATAGATGGTTTAATATTTTCTTTCCACACCCCAAAGATTGTTGGTATATGCACCCACTTTGGAGACCACTGTTTTAGGTCCCTTAGATTAAAAAAAAGTGAAATTTGCTATCAAGAAAGAGATTTTGTGGAAG